AATGAGAGGAAGCAGGGAGGATTTCAATTTTGAAAAGGATTCCTCCTTTTCAAAATTAACGTTAAGATGAAATTAACATCACATTAGTGAAGCATTAGAGAAACTGTTCACAACCTCAGCTTTGATGTGCCAGAGAGTAAATCTAAATAAATAAATAAATAAATTAGAAAGTATACAAGGCAGTTTACAAAACATACTGGTCTCTGAGTACCAGTGTGATTTCTCATGCCAATAGAAGTTTAGGGAGCCACTATGCCTTGACTATTGAATTCTCCGAGTAAAATATGGCTGTTACCTTTAAGAAACCTTATGCTCCATTTACAAACACAACAGCATCTAACCTGGAGCACTTCCTCACTGATCCAGCTGAGCTGGAAACACTTTCTCCTTTCAACACTTTGACAGATATATTTTGGATTTTGACGGGTACACAGATGCATGTTTTGTTTATGCCTTTAAGACTTTTCTTCCTTACGCATGAAAAATGCCACGATGAAATGCTAAAGGTGTGTTGGGACATAAAATTTGGAATGTTTTAATTGATTAATGTTCCTTTAGGAGCCAGCAGATGGTTCTGTGGGTTAAAGAGCCTGCCTTTCACAGACCTGCTGTCATAAACATAAAACTTGCCATGACTGATGATAAACGTATGGACATAGGGAGGTGTGGACTGGGTTGCATCTAACAGAGCGTCCACCTCAGGTTCTGGAGGGAAGGTTCTCCTGATTCCTTCCTATCCTCAGCACTGTGAGGCACACCAGGTTCAGCGTGGAACCCCTCAGACTGTGAGTGAGCCATGTTTGCAGGGAAGGCTATTTCTATGTTTACAACAGTTTCCCAGTGGGCTGCTGAACACCCTTTTGTCCAGGTAAGATTTAGATCAACGTTCAAATAACGGGACTTTGGACACCCTATGTTTACAAATGAAGCATTCCTAGAGCATAGCTGTGCCCATCGGCTCACATTTTGTTCATAACTCCTTTCTTTCTACAACTGTGTGGGTTGTAACAATATGTCTGAGTCACAACCCTTAAAATATCGATTATAGGACTCTTTAGGAAAACATTTAGCTACAAGTAATTTAACATGAAACTCAATTGTTGAGTTTCCTCATGGTTTATCTGAGCTACAACTCTTTGGTATTGTCAATGGTTGAATTTTATGATGTTTAGCCACTCACTAGGAAATGAGACTCATGAGCCTTTATACTTGGTATTATGTATAATTGACGTCATCCTTAGGCTGCTTACTGATACTGCATTATGGCTTAAACTGCCTATTCAAAATAGCAAATTAAACATTCTTAAGGATAAATTTAAAGAGAACTGTCTAGAAGGAATGATGCGACTTGAAGAGTTAAAAACTGGAGTATGTGGCATTTTTATACTTTTATTTTTCTACATATAAAATATATCTTTCAGGGGAAACAGTTGGAATGATTATTCCTTATTTTCACAGGAAATCTGACTGACAGTAGAGAGTCCAATATCTCAAACTCTCAGTGAAATTTGTAAACACTGCTTAGGAAAATTCAAGACATCATGATTACTAATAGGATCCAAGAACTAGAGGGAGGGTGGGATTGGGAAAGGAGAAGGGAAGGAGGTGCAGGGGGGGATACAAAGTGAATAAACTGTAATTAATAATAAAAAATAAAAAACTATTATACAATCAGATTATTTTAAACAGGAAATGTTAACAATAAAAGAACTTTTATTATAGGGGTATTATTGATCTAATTGAGCAGGATGGCAACATGGCTATTATTTTCTCCCATTTAGTGGGTATATTAGAACTTGGACATCTGACCAAAATCATATAGACATTTTGTAACATGTGTAGCTCTTATTTGTTCTAAAGATCATAGCAGTTTTCAGCGATTCATTTGTTATCTTCCAGAAATGTGCTTCATAGAGAGAGTAGCTATAGAAAAGAAAGCGCTACAGTGGTCCTGGTCAATTGTAAGCACACCAGGAATAAATTCTTTTCATGTTGAAAATTTCTTTTTAGTATGTCATTCATTTATATGTTCTGTAAAGATACACTGTGCATCAACTCTTCAAGATGCTAAGAATATATGAATGAGTACTGGAGTCTAAAGTGTTTTAGCAAATCTATATTCATGCATGGTAGATGAAAACACATATAATGAACTATATAATAAACACATGTAATGAACTATATAATAAGCTATATAGTATATTATGAGGGTGATACTTGCCTTATAAATACCAAATGTAGAACAGAAAGGGGATTTTAGAACGTTGGGTGAGTTTAGGAGTTGCATTATAAAGTTTAATCATGTATACTTGAATAAAATCTTATATATATATATATATATATATATATATATATATATCTTGCATAAGATAAGTTATCGCTAAAATTCTTTAAAATATTAAGGTTAACATAATTGTTTTAAGTTTCATAATGGAAACAATAGAAATTTATGTAGTCCTAAAATACACATGGAGATCTGATCTTATTAAAAGACAGATGGTTTATATGGACTGAATAGAAATCATTACATAAGATCTGATTGTAGAAACATAATTGGGCTTTTTTCAGCATAGAATCTATCATTATAAGAAAGCCTAAGCTGTGATAATAAAATCATGCCCCCAGTTGAAGAAATTAAAAAAGGGTGGCCACATGGGAAATAGTCTAAAATAACATACAATTAAACTGGGGAGAGTTGAATTGCATAACATTGTAATTACTGATAACATAAGTCACAGATGATGGACAGAAGTGATTAAACAGAACTGCCCCAAGGCAAGTGAAAATTGAGTAAGAGATTAATATCATTGACTCCATACACATAGGGGTCAACTTTATGCTTAAATTGAAGCAGGAAGATAGTTTTTCTCTAAGCCACATCCATGATCCGTGCGGAAAGTTGATTTGGCTGTGAGAAGGCATAGAGCTTTGCAGAGCATGCCTAGAATGGTGTGGCTGATGGCGTTCCACAAACTAGGGAAAGTTTGGATCGTACTGAGTACTGGTAATTGTAAAAAAGAAACCTGTCAAAAGAGATGAAATTTACTTAGCCTTTCCTTAGAATGTTAGTGAATGTAAAAAGGCCTCATTGGATGCTCTGTTGTAAATGAAAAGGAATTAGAGAAGGCGAGGAAGATGACAGGGACACTGTCACCATTAAAGGCGACAGTGTCACAAAAGAACTCAAGTGGGATGGTTGTCTTGGTGAAGCCTTTCCTTAGATATTTTTCACACTTATAATATTCTTTTCTCTCAGTACGTTCCCTGAAATTTAGAGTTGCATTCTCCATGCCTCTACTTAATCACACTCAGGTAAGATAAAAAGTCTGTTTTTGGCTAATTTCAATGACATTTCTGTTTTTAATCATTTAATCATGTGGCTTAGTTGCATTTATTAGATAGCAAATTGTGATAGTTATGTATATTGTTTTCTAAGCACTGGGATTATATGTAGCTCATATAGTTAAATACTAATTAGATTAATTAAATAATAAAATACTTATCTTGCATGCACAAAGTCCTGCTTGTGATCTCTAGCACCTTAAAAAAACAAAAGATTTTCCATCCAGTCCTAAAATATGATTGCTAAAGTTCTCATGCATCTAATTAGTAGACCAGAACAGAAGCAGAGTTATATGAAAGCCATTCTGAAAGCTCAGGGTAATATTCAAAACAAATTATTATCATCTCAGTAAATCGCTACACGGAACAAATTAAATGTGGGCAAATACTGCACTCCAAGAGAAATTCAATTTTAATGGTCTCCACTTTTATATTGACTAGCCATTCAAAATTTTGTACATAATTATCTCAAAATAGGAAAGGTGTCTCTATTTTGGGAATCTAATTGATAACACTTGTTATTTAATACAGAGTAAACTGTTGCCTTTACAGATTCTCGGAGTTTAAACCCTCTTCTCTTATAGCCATTGCTCCAAATGCAGAGAGAGACTTGGTTTAGCAATGCACTCTTACTAACCTATGAAATATATCGACAGCTTCAGCTTTGGGGACTCATCAGGGCTTGAAAAGGCAAGAACTATGGGACAAGGTTAAAACAAAGATTTTTAGACGCTCCTTTGTTGGGAAAGGCTTAAGGGACTATAAGAAATATGTCGCCGTGATGCTTTAAAGGTCTATAAATGGGAAATGGTACTATTAGTGTGCATTGTCTTCTCAACAATATAATAAAACTAGGCTATCCTTGTTTCAATGGCAAAGTTATTTCAGTAAGGTTGGAGGGTAACTGCTTTGTACTTGCTCCTTCTTACAACAAGATAGGACATCACTGTCTAAATTTTGCAAATACATTCCATCTCAGACTCAGGCTACCACACGGTAGTACGACTCTATTCCATTAAAAAGCAGATATATCAAAGTTTAACTAATAGTAGTGTTATATTGCTACTGCTACATTTAGATCAAAACTTAAGGATTCATTGTACACACTGGCTCCAAGTGGCCACTATTTATAAGCTTTTGGCAACTGAATTGTTGTCCCTGCAGTCTAGTTCACAAAATAAAAGTGGGCACAGTGTTTTAGAGGTAATTGGTGTTTTTCAGCCTAGTTTCAGCTGGAATATGAACAGATGTTTGAGAGTTTTGAGAGTCTCGCTCATTTAAAACTTTAATCTGTTTGTATGTGAATCTTACCTCTTTTCAGTCCCTTTCTGTTCACATACCATTTGGTGATTGTTGGATCTATTGAATGAGCAGGGTCTTGATTAAGTCCCAAGAGAATTTTCTGTAACTATTCTTGCCTTCACATTGAAGATGTGGGTTCCCGAATGCTGCTTCTAACCAATTCGTGACTCCTCAGTCAATTCTAGTCACTAAACTGTGCTGTATTATGCACTGTTACATAGCAAATGTGGACTGTGGGGTCCCCAGTGTTTCATTTCGAAGACACTTCTGCAAGCTTTCCTTTACTTGCAATAATATAGGTGTATTTTACCTCCACTACCAAAGAGCAACATGAACACTCAGTAATATCAAGTTACCATGGCTGTTGCATCGTGATGTTTCCACAAGTCTGCCATTTTGGTCATAGCACGCCATCGCTTGGTAACGGTATCCTTGTCCACATTCCTTGCTGTCTCCTTGTACCTTCATTCCCAACAGCACGTCAGCCTTCCCTTCTGGTAAGATACAGTCTGACCAGTTCCCCACAGGCTGTGCATTGTATTTGTCACAAGGACAATACTGCGTCTCAATAAGAGGGTATAAATGGGAGTTTTTACATTTTTCCTTCTTTTTACTTTTTCCTGTGGGAGAGAATTATGATGGAAAATAGCATTATTAGTTTCCAGCACCCTTAGATTTTTCACATTCTTTTACTTCCTTCCTGTGCTTTTGATTTTATTCAACAGTGGCCTATAAATAAATGATATCTTTTCTAAATAAAATTTTGCTGATATTGGGTGCTTTGTGCCTTGCACAGTGAAACATTTCTTATTTTTTCATTTAAAAATAGTCCATTTTGCATAAAGGATTGCAGTAGATTTTTACACTCTGAAATCACTGAAAACCTCATGTTTGTACTGACTCAGGAGTTTGTGGCAACTGCACTAACCTCTTCTTTTCAATATATGCAAAAATGTAAGATGCAGAGAGACCAACACTTCATGGGATTGCATTCTCTCTTGCTGATTGCAAATAGCTGGCAGAGTTACACCGGATTATAATTCAGAAATAGAGATTTAAGGCTTATCTCTTAGCATATTATTTTGTATCTTTCAAAATTTCTGAACAGTAGTCATTTTGACATACTCAATGACTAATACAAATAGCACTCAAGAAGAAAAGTTGAATATCAGAATAAAACATTTTCACAGTTTTGAATCAGCAAGAGAAGACAGGAAACAAGACAAGAGCCTACCACAGAGGGCCTTTGAAAGACTCTACTGAATTGAGGTATCGAAGCAGAGGCTGAGACTCATAGCTAAACTTTGGGCAGAGTGCAGGGAATCTTATGAAAAAAGGGAGAGATAGAAAGACCTGGAGGGGACAAGAGCTCCAAAAGGAGACCAACAGAGCCAAAAAAAAAAAATAGCCCTAGGGGTCCTGCAGAGACTGATACCCCAACCAAGGACAATGCATGGAGAGGACCTAAAACCCTGGCTCAGATGTAGCCCATAGACTCAGTCTCCAAGTGGGTTCCCTAGTAAGGGGAGCGGGGCATGTCTCTGATATGAACTCGGTGACAGGCTCTCTGACCACCTCCCCCTGTGGGGTGCAGCCTTACCAGGCCACAGAGGAAGACAATGGAGCCAGTCCTGATGAGACATGTTAGGCTAGAGTCAAATAGAAGGGGAGGAGAAACTCCCCTTTCAGTGGAGGGGCATAGGGGAAAAAGAGGGAGGGAGGGTGGGATTAGGAGGAGATGAGGGAGGAGGCCACAGCCAGGATACAAATTGAATAAACTGTAATAATGATAATAATAAAAAAGTTTTGAATCAAAAGAAAGTCTCTCTTAAAAATCCTTATTTATAAGTTGTATATGTATTTAAAATTACATATTTAATTATCCTAGTAATAGCATATAAAATATTCATGATATATAATTGTAATTCTGTCATACATAATATATTCTTTAATTAAATTATGATATTTACTTATATATTTATTTCTAATGTGCATACGCACACGCATACACACAGTTTTCCAGTGTCTTTATTTTACCTTGGTTCATCTTAACAGTCTATAAATATCATCCAGGTTAAGTGTAGCATCTAAGTTAAGTGTAGTATCTTGTCTTCTAAACTGTTAATCATGTCACTGTTTTAGTTTTTTTGCTTTTTAAAGCCATTGTGCCTTTGTGTTTAAATGCGGTTTTCGTAGATAGATCTAATGCTGCATTTCTCGCTGTAGGGAATAAGCTATGAACTGAGGCTGAAGTAGTGACGATAGGCTGAGACAATAAAGGAGTGGCTTCTACTCTTTGCTCTCAGCACTTTAAAATTTCTTAGCAATGCACTAAAAGATACATGTTTAAAGAACAACAACAAATGCGTTATGTGTTGCATAGGGAATTAAGCTGCCTTTTCTTTCTTCTAAAAATGATGTGCTTCTATCATTGTTACCTTGCATTAAAATACACACCCTATTCTACTGAAATATTCTGTATAAGCACAGCAACAATAAGGACTTTTGAATATACTGTCAGGATGCTCTTGGTTTGAGTTTTATTGTGTTTTTCTGTCAAGCTTAGAGTTGCCTTTAGCATCCCAATTATTCTTACCAACAATAGCACGCTTCCTGGTCCTAACTGCGCCGCAGTCTCCATTGCATGAAGAAAACTTGGACCAGCTGGTAAATTGACAGTCATCTTGGCAGGGAATCTGGCAAGCCTGGGTCAGGGCTGGCACAGGGCCTGCATACTGGAGGCACTCCTGGACGCTAGCCTGCCCTCCATCTTGCTTTCGACAAGTAATGGCTGAAAGAAAAGCATGTGTCTAATTACTCCATAATTTAAAAATTAAAAGCATTTTCACAGAGTGAGAATTCCCAGTTTACAGTAGAAATGTGGTTAGAGCATTTTTAAGAATCACAGTAGACACTATAATGGTGTGTGTATACTGTGAGCACACATTTGGACAGCAGAGTTTGATATTGAGTGCCTTCTCTCTCGTTTTGCTTGTTTTTGAGACAGGGATCTCCCACTGAACTTGCAGCTCAAGTCTTGTGAATACTGGCTTGTCTAAAAGCTGTGAGTGTCCTCTGGCCTTTGCCTCTAAGCACTGGGACTATAGGCTTGCTGTACTGCACCCTGGTTTTTAGGTGGGTGCTGGGAATCAAACTAAGATCCTCGTGAGTGTGCATCAAGACTACTCACTGAGCCATCTCCCCAACTTTTGTATTTTCTTTAAATAATGCATAGCCTTTATTGTCTGTTGTGGCACACACACACACACACACACACACACACACACACACACACACACACCTGAACAGAAACATATGCATAGACATCTACACTTAGTGACAGTCAGTATATTTTACTGGAGTCACCGAATCATTTTAGATTTGTTTCACATATGGGATAGATTTAGAAATTAATTTTAGCAGATAAATCATGCATGGATTCTAGTTTGTGTTTAATGTGGAATATTTGCACACAGTTCTAGAAGCAAATGAGATGCCTGCAGTGCTGCTTTAGGACACAAAACAATGTTAAGATTTCTGTCTACAGAGGTTTCAGTGGGTGCTTGCTCACTGTTTACTAAACTGTGGAAAGAGAGCTATGTTCACCCAATTTGTCTTATAGCCAAAAATGACAGAAATTGCTCTTTTTTCCCCCACATTGAGAGTGTACTTGCACATCTTCTGAGTGGCAAATAGGAGACAGCATCGGTGCCCTTGGCCCCTGCTGACCTCATGTTTTTTACACTGCAAAAATATCAACTATGAATTAAAAAAAATAAAATTGGAAAAAAAAAACTGTTAAGCTAAATTTGGCATGTCGCTAGTAGAATTCTCATGACTACATAGGCACTGTAATGATGATCAAGCAGTTTTAATTCACATAATGATCCCTTCCACTGTTGTTCCAGTAGCTTATTTAAAGCAAGAAACTGTAATATGCAAAACAGAGACATTCAACATTGCCTGTTTTTGTAACAGTCTTAAAGAAAAAGATCATAGGTTGCCAACATTCTCCCTTCTTCCTATACCATTTACTACACAGGTTTCAAAAATAATTTATTTATCAAGGAAGCCAGTGAAACATTTACACTTTGGTCCTGCATTGAAATCTTCATTAAATTACCTTAAATAGCCTCATTCAGACTGATTTATAGGATGTTTGTTTTTTTTTCCAAGTTTATGGTGGAGGCTAAAACTGCCCCCTCCTACCTGCTTGTTCAGGAGTCTATCATCATGGAGTTAAGGGATGAGTCTGGCATGTTGCTGGGACACAGGGGTCTCCAGATTAGGCCGTTTTCCCTACACTTGTGAGCTGAAACCCTACTGAAAAGTGCAGTTGTGTAATGGGTATGTAACGCGAAGTAGCTTACAGTTGGAGAAAGGGAAAATGTTCCCTGCAAGGTGAGCACAATGCAGAACAAATCCATGGAAGCTCACTTTGTTCTGCAAGCGTGGTTCCAACACTTGTATGCTCTGAATGGAGTCTCATTCATACGCTCCAGTTTGAGCCAAATTGTATGAAAGGGACAGAGGTCCTTGAATAGTTAAGTCAGTATGCTTGGGACGATGAGCATTGCGAAAGACAGGTGACAACAAAAGATTCCTGTCACCACTTCTGAGGAGGCTGGCATGGGCCTGTGCTTATCACAGACTGTCCAAAGTAGTGGTTGTGTCAGGCTGCAAAGGAGAATAAGCTGGTCAGCTTTTGGAAAATAGCTTTCTTACTAAACCCAGTCATTCCTATTTCATTGACCAAGGACAAGGTCTTGGAGCAGCTTTGATGATGACCGTTTGCTGGCTGGATGAAAGCTGCTGTTGCTGCTTGGCGGTGGTGCAGTATTGCCTGCAGCAGAAGCACCTGAAATTCTATTCGGCCCCTTGATTCTTGGATTCACCCAAGAGAGCTCTGTGGTCAAGGGTCAAGGAAAAAGCACTTTCCAAAGGCACTCGGTGTTCAAGGCACAAGGGTCCTGGCTGAGACTAGTGGGTAAGATGGCTGCTTCTCTGGTACTCTGTCACCCTTGCACTTTGTCACATTTTGGAAAACACCGGTGTGTGGGTCTGGAGCTCTAAATGTGAGTTATTGTTCTCTTGAGAAAGCATTATGGGGACTTGTACACAGATGGGTCAAAGTGAACATCCATCCATTCTGAAGGAAAGCCATTTGTAGCACACTAGAGGTGGAACATTCTGCTTGGATATCACAGTTCTCTCTACTTTTGCAATTAGGACCAACCACATATACACCAGAACCTCAGCAGGTTCCCATAGTTTATTGGCAATATTGCCCCCAAGGTACTTAACAGGAAAACTTGAGAAATGAAAATATTAGACATTTTACTAGCTAGGATATATAGAAGCTGCAAGAATGATTAATTTGGAGCCTAAAATGTGTGTCTGTATTAGAATTCTTAGCTTTGACGATGATTTTATTGCTGGTATCCGCAATTAAGGATTAAAAATGTAATCTTGGGGTCTCTGAAATGAAAACTGCCAATTTATCTAACATGCCTCTCTGAAATGGAGACTCAAATATAAATCTTTTGAGAAAGTTAATAAAGTTGCCTCATGTTCTCTAAGAGGGTTTCTCTTTGTCTCTGTCTTTCTGTGTCCTTCTGTCTCTCTCACTTTATTTCAAAATTACTCCATGTATCTTCACACTGTGACTCGAGAAAGAAAATTAATAAATAGCCCCACTACCAATAAATATAATTCTAGAAATAAATTTACATTGTTGATAGATACACTATTTTAAAAAAAAGTAAAAAAAAAATATTTTCCCATACTCAGACATCCCCAAAATCTTATTAGTGCTTCAGTTGATTGAAATGGAAAACAAATGTATAACATTCCTATATCTGTTCTCAGAAATCTGCTCAGCACTTCACTTCCCTTATCTGAGATTTTCAACAGTATACTTTTGGAATGAATCACACAATGTTATCCAAACAAGAGCAAGAACACCGTTTGCACAACATATTGAAAATTTATCATACATCGTAGCTTGTTTGTATTCTAACTTAGAGGAAACACAACAATTCAAACATAGAAATGCAATCTAAAATGAACTTCCTGCTACTGGGTGAGGAAAATATAAATGTTTGGAAAAGGAGCCATCTGGTCTCTCAGCTTTGTAAACTTTAAAGATCATTTGAGAGCCACTGAAAATAGGGTGTTTTTTAATTGTAGCACAAATAGATCATTCCAAGCATGGTTTCCTGGCATTTCAGAAAGCTACACATGCCCAGGCAACTGTGACTGTATTTGCATCTATCCTCATGTATAATGATTATGCAAGTTTTCCTTTGTGTTGAGGCCTTATTAACAAGATAGATCAAAATAATGCTATCCTATGAAGAGTGGACCATAAAAGCTTCTTGGTAAGATTGGCAATTGTCAAAAAAATGTTTTTCTTTTTCAAAAGGGAAATCCCACAGTAAATAGTATGTTGACTATATATTTATTTCATTTATGAAACATAAAGTTATAGATATCACAGCAAGGTTTATGTGTTATAGGATTATATGTTTCTAGCTGGCTAAAAGCATGAGAGACATAAGGATGGCTAACTTTGGACTAAACATGAATAACCTTGGACAAGTTTAATCCATCAAGACTCAGGAAACATGATAACGGTGAGTGGTGAGTAAGATACAGCTGGGATACAAAGTGAATAAACTGTAATCATAAAAAAAAGAAAAAGAAAGAAAAGGAGGAAAAAATTTAAAAAAATAAAGGTAAGTAAGAAATCCAGCTTCTTCAGCAAGTAAATGGTATAAGAAAAACAATTCAACTCAAATTGGATTAGATCAAAGTAATTCAGAAAGGCACACTAACCAAAAACAATTTGTAGACCTTAGGAGGACTAATTTGAAAACAAAACAAAACAAAACAAAACTGTGTAGACATTTTTATGTGTATCTGTGACATGTGTGTGTATTCCTGTGAGAATGCTTCTGTCTGTGAATGTAGGTATGCACATGCCACTTTTCATGTGTAGAGTTCAGAGAACACCCTCAGGTTGGTACTTACACTCTATCTTGTTTTAAGTCCAGTCAGGGTTATGTGTTTCACAGATGGTGGAAAATTAGGTATGGCCTAAAGATTAGACATTATTAAATTATTATTAACTATGTTTGGCATCATAATCTCATTTTTAATGTAAGAAAAAGATAAAGTATCTGTAGGAAATAAATATCTTATTTAAGCATTGTTCTGAAATGCTCCAGGAAAATTCTTTTGAGGTGTGAAGGGAGTGACAGATGACCAAGATGGCAGCATGTCAAAACCTTTAATGCTGAATAAATGATAGCCACCCTGTGGATATTCATGTCAGTCTTTCAATTTTTGTGTATTTTTAAAACATCTTCCAAGTTTAAATATCAAAGCCTAGTAAACTGAATAGCCAATTTCAGAGTGTTTTTGTGTGAACTTGGTTTTAGATTTGTTTATTTTTAAATTATGTGCAGGAGTATGTAAACACCAGAGCAGCTACCCACAGAGACCAGAAGAAGGTGTTGGATCCCTTGCAGCTAGAGTTACATGCAGTTGTAAATTGCCTGATAGAGATGATGGGAACTTAATCAAGGTCTTGTACAAAACTGGTAGAAGCTAGGCAGGCATGGTAGCATATGATTTTAATCACAGAACTCAGGAGACAGAGGTAGGAAACTCTTTGTGAATTCAAGATCAGCTTGGTACTTATAGTGGATTCCTGGCTAGCCAGAGATAAACAATGAAACTTTGTTCCCTCCACCCCCACACACAATACCTCACCTTCTAAAATAAAAA